GTTCTACGGAAAACATTGTACCTTCTACGCACGGAAACAGACGAGCGCATATTCACATAAAGCACACTCGTACAGCTCCCTCGCAGTTAAAGGGCCAACGTGAACTGTCTTATGAACCGTCAGGCAACGTTTACAAAAAATTCGTTTGTTCCGGCGACAAACATCCTAGTCTCGAGGCCGTGTATCATCCGAGAGACGAAAAACAAGTGAAAAACACATCGGAAAACTATGTTAAAAAGACGAAAGTTAACAGTCGAGCGCATACGTCATTGGGCACATTCGTACATTGTTCCGGCAACATACATACGAGTCTCGAGGCCGTAATCACCTGAGAAACGAAAAACAAGTAAAAAACATTTCGGAATTCTTTCAAAATTTTCAAATAATATTTTACGTTGCTGTTTTTTTATATGGGTTATATTTATATGTAATAAAACTCTTTAAAAGGATTATTCGTACTGTCTATTGGTTTGTCAATACAGAGGATTGATTGGCCTATAAAGTTACCGCAGTCACCTAAACCAGTTCCAGAGGTGTTCTCAAATTTAATGAAATGTAAAATTGTGCACAGTATTGAGAATTTATTTTTTGGTTTGTTGCTATAAAAAACGACCGCGACACCTCTAATGATTTGTTAGAATGTGTTTTATTCTATATTTAATTTATCAATCCCGCATTATTCCATACAAAACAGGACATTTATATTTATACTATAATGAAAACAAGCGAATGCACGTATAATAAAAATGTCATAATTTGTATTGTAATAGGTAAAATATTTACTAATAAAAAAAACNTATCGTAATAGGTAAAATGATTACTAATAAAAAAAACCTAATGGCTCGAAGTTCTGATAAGTAATCGATAAATGACAACCACCCTCCGTTAGAAAATTCGAGGAATCCAACAATAAAGCCGTCGATCATTTGTTTTATTAAATTTTCTATACACAATAAGCAAAATAAACTATTCTATTAACTTAAGTCATCAGCGGCTTTCACAAATTGTACATTATTCAGGGTTGTTTTGAACACTCATTATTTAATACAGTGTTTTAAACGCTTTTTTAACACCAATTATTTCAATATTTAC